ATTTATATAAAACATTTTATTCCCCACATTTAATGCTAATGGTATCTCCAATTTTTAGATTGACCTCATCTGAAAAGGGCTATTGGGCTATCTTCATCTCAGCGTGGGGTCACGTGAGTAATAGAAGAGATTGGGCGCTATTACATTCATTCGTCTATTTCAAAAAATATTTGTCTCGGTAATCGAGTTTAATGACCGCTCACTTTATCATTATTTGAGCATCAGTAGTCGAAGCTGTCCTGCCCGGGCAGACAGACATCCCGACGCCGGGGGATAGTCTTCACGTCCCGCCGGCTAGGGTCCAGATTTTGCGTTCGCGCCAAAAATCTTAAATTGTCTCTCTCATTTTTCTTGCGTAGTCTGGTTAATTTATTTGAGTTGTGGTAACCTTATCGTACTTCTGGCTATTAGTGTTTGCGAACATTCGGTGTATTGTTTCACTCTTGGCGACATTGCAGCATCCGACTGACATTAATAAAATACCATTCTGCGATAAGCGAGTGGTCTAAAGCAATTTGGGGTCCCAATAAATCTTATAAATCGAGGAAGGACGCCTTATTGCCCAAAACAAATTGATCCATCACTTCAAACTAAAATGTAAAATCTTTATTAATACGTTCAAAATTTCGGTGAATGCATGGGAAATCGGCCGATTGGTCACAACGGCGAGCTGAATATATAGCATCATATCACACGAGTACAATATGTTATTTTTGCTAGTCGCGCTAACTCAAAACATAGTGTCAAATTGTGATGATTACATATATTTTAGTACTCAGAAACCAGTTGTAAAAAGGGCCAAATACACGCCTAAACTAAAGGTAACTAGATTTCTATAGAAATCCAGCTAATCCTGGAGTTCAAAGTTCAAGTTGAAACAGGATGCAGGCCGTGAACTTTGAACCTAAATTCGACCGTCGGCGCAAAGTATTCTTTGAAGTGAGTGAAAACAAACTACGGAAAGAAAAATCACCGCGGTCATGGTGTATTTAAATTACTAACACACAGTGTAAACTTATGAGACACACGTTCAAGCTTGTGATCTCAGTTAGATTTATCGTCTTTCAAAAGTTGTGAAGTACAATCACCGACATTTTTGATGCAGATTGAACATTCCGGACTTTAGACTGACTTTTAGGTTTTACTGTAGGTTTCAGAAGGATTCAGAAGTGTGTTTACCAATATGGAGGTAACTAAATTTGTTCGCCTACTTTGCATCAAGTTGTGTAAAGGGACTGAAACCTATGAGCAGTGGGTATATTCACTTGGCTAACACGGACAGTCCCCGAACTCGTATTAGAACTAAAATAAGGAAAATCGAAACAAAATTATAGCCTAACCCTAACCTTGTACGCACACACTACGGGAGTACCGATTCAATTGCGTGGATGGATAGTTCTCCCCAATAAATACATTTTCTAAGACCTGATTGCAATTTTTTTTTGTGCCTCGTTCACTTATAGTCTGGTCTTAATTAATTGGTTTCTAGTCTACTCCAAATAAAAATTTGAAAATCTCTTACAAAAATAATTTGTAGTAGAATAGTATGTCTCAGACAAATTTTTTTGGGGCAATTGGAGGAAATTATCATCATAAGACCATTAGGATGTTATGAAGTTATTTTCAGTTAAAGTGAAAAAACATAAGATCGAACTAATTTAAGTGTCGTATTAATGGAGCTCGCACAATAATAGTATTGTATACATTACTGTATAATAGGGTATATTATTATTACAGTATTATTCATAAATATTGTATAATGTACTTTATCAAATTCATCAAAATATGGCACGAGTCAATAAATAACTATAACATAGTATTCACGTAAAAGTTAGACGTTAAAACAACAAGCTTTAGAGATATTAAGTAAGTTTAAAAATTTGTCAACTCATTTTTTTTATTTCAATTTTTGAACAGTCTTTACCGCAATATTAAGAGTATTACTACGTTGTTCACGTTTAACATGCAATTACCAACCCTTTTTCAGGCAGAACAAACAACAGAGTCTATAAAAACCCCTTCATGGCGAGATTTTATCATTGTCTGCGTTGAAGACTCGTGAAACGGCAACTTGAAATGACTTAAATTTAGCCTTGAGGTTGAAATGATTTTGGCAATTCACTTTAATCGTGTAAAACTTTAAATTTTTTAGGTTTGTTGGTCGAAAATACTTGAAATTATTTTTCGTTCTCGATTAAACAGTTTAAATCGGACACAAACAGTTAATTATGTGGTATTTCGCTTGCCAGACGTCATAATTGAAAGTCTCCGCTGGCCTAAGTTGGTAATGATACAAGTTCACGGATCGAAATGCTGCCTTGCATGCTTGAAATGCCTCGTTAATTAGCAGTTATTTCCGCATTATCTACCGTATTTTCGCTTCTTAGCGTCCTGGAATAAAGTACATCAGCAAAAATGTGTCATTTGATGTCATGGCCCCACGAGGTCAAAGCGGACGACAGCTAACCAGATGGACCAGCATTCGCCTATGGCGCCACCATTCACTCGGTAGTAAGTGTATTCATTCATCTTATGGTTTGGTCGGTACTTTTGAAGTCTATAGCTTTGTCAACTTGTAATGTTGGTTTTGTTTTCGTGTAACTATAATCAATATACATTACATGGGCGGTTTGAAACAATCAGACGGGACTTGTAGTGTTATCTTTTCGTTCAATTTCTTAGAAGATTTTTTCCAGTGAAAAGTAGTCAACAAATCGTATAAGTCAGGCATGGGCTGAATATAAAACTTAATCTTGAACGGTATATTTCGCTGTTTCATGCTAGAAATAGGGGCAGTTGAATCAGACCCCAGACAATGATTTTTTGTTGAAATAACTCGTTCGTCTTCGTGTTCTACATTACTACGATCGCTTTTGTTTTTATCGGCAGACAAGTGTAAATGGTTTCATTGAATGCGATCGAGCCAGAGTCAAGCATTGATACGTCTGCCACGCCTACAAACCCATGTTTTTCGAAGACCTGGTGCCACATAGTCGACGGTGTGTCTTATCTTTACTACGGTTCGATATGTATATTACAATACGTTAATCTGTTACGAGAGACGACGTAAATTTAAAAAAAACTGTTAATTGAAATGCTTTTAAGGGTAAATAGAACAGTTTTGTTGTAAGTACAAACGTAAAATTTGACAAAACGCAATTAGTCAAAATTTAACTCGTAGTCGATTAGTATTACTGGTTTCTTCTCGGAAATTAATAATTAAAATTACAGTAATAATTATGTTGAATTTCCTTAGATTTTTAACATCGAGTGACGAAATAATATTTACCCACAAAACGCCATAAAGTCGGATAATGTGTTTCGCACAGGTGTTTAAGGCGAAAGTCGGTTTTCATCGCTACGAGTACATTCATGCAGAATATACATAAAGCGATACACGTGGAATGAAATATTATATTTACAATGAAATAATTTCAAGAACTTCTGAGTATTTCTGACCTAAAAAATATTTTGTACAATTTCCAGTGTATGTTCTCTTGTTTGGTATTTGAATCCGGAATGTTATGACAAGTGGCAAAAGCAACAATCAAATAATATTCGTCTTAATAAATTTCACGTTGACGCGCGGAGTGAAATGGCGCCCGACCCAACATCGTAAGCCAACTTATTCAGACATTTATCATACCGTCGAAGATATATTATCATTACAATTCTACGATTAAACTATACTGGTAGAAACTTATTGTCGTCTTTTATTTTCATTTCGAGTTAGTTCGACTGGAGAATAAAACTTTGACCTCCTACAATGATGTGCGCTGACATGATTTTGCGAAGCACAATAGGGTCAAAATATCTTCTCTGAGGAATAACATTCCTAATAAAACCCCGTTGTATTGCAATAACAGTATCATTAATAATATCCGGGCAGGAAGGAAAAACAAACCCGTAGGACCGTCGCGTAGACAGTTAGACTACCGTTCGTACGAGCGCGACTGTTTCGTAGCTGAGGCAATAAAACTCGTTTTATAAGTTTATAGGAAATCTTCGACACAGCTCTTAGCGATATAGAAAACTGGTTGAAAGTTGACTTTTTTGAATATTTGATATTATAAAGAATACTGCTATATGCAGAGAGTACTTTTGAAAGAAAAAGAGGCAAAAAAAATAGAACGAAATAGTTTTAATTAATTTTTCATTGGTGTTGGAAAAACAAAGTAGTTCAAAAATAATTCAAGAAAATATAACAGTTCTGAAGCAATATCGTCCGGTGCAATCAAGAGAAATTTAAATAAAATTTGGATGCAATCAAGCGTATAACCTTGGCGTATAACCTTGGATAGGAGTTTTTTTTTTTTTTGTATCTATGTTGATGAAAAATCGAAATTTTTGCACAAATTTGTTTTTCAATCCAAAATATGCACAGTGATAATATAAAATAAGGCAGAGGCTTTTTTTATTATAATAATTATAAAGCACTGATATATTTTATACCAATGTATTCCTCCAATTACACTGAAGAAATGAAAATCAATATTTTTACTTCGATAATCCGAATACAGACCTTACGATTAGAAACAATGACTTTTTTAATATAAGGTATCGGACAAAATTATTGTATTTAAGTTCAGTTACTTTCAAATTATACTAATTTCACTTCTTTTTGTATTAGTTCCGGGGTTTGTTTTTCGGAAACAGAACACTTTCCGCAGCCGACATTAAGTCGCTTCATAAACCCCTGACGCCAAATGAGCAGGAAAAAGGTGGAAGAAAAACTCTCTCTTATCTAGGAAGATTTAGAAATATAATTTCAATGTCCCCAAACATTTTTTCCCTTTTTTCATTTGTTTATAATCCCCGCAACCAAATTCTTTTTAATAGTATGTAGTTTGGACAGGTGGAGAACAGGACCTACTTGACAAAAACCACAATGAGGCAAACAAATGGTTGCAGCAGCACTTGTGAATTTGGGAATTCTCTAATGTGCTATACTGTACATAGTTAGTTCAGTACCGCGGGATCGTATATTCTTTATTTAGAAATTGCAAACAAAATTATCAGGTATGCTTTCGTATGGAGGAAAATATGGAGCAGTGAATGGCTGATTTTTTCTTTTTACTAGACAGCTGGTGTTTGACAATATTTGACAAACATTTGGAAATATTTTGTCAAACTATTTTAGACAGTTTGAAACTGCTAACCTCAACTTTCTTTGCGAATTAGAGTGAAAATTTTGGGTTTAATTAATAGTAAGAATCAGCAAAAAATGAAAGTAATTCACATTTTATTCAAAGCTCCTGTAAATTTTGAACCAGAATTTTAATATCATTTTTGTTTATTTTTAGTTTTACTATACGACATACATAAAAATATTGTTATTCTTCCTCGAATCTGAACGACGTTTTCAACCGACAACTCATCTTGCATTTTAAGTGGAAAGCTTACTTTCGGTTATTATTTCTACTGTTTTGAAAAGAAAATCGACTCACCTCGGCATCATGAAAAGTTACTCTGGAGATTCGTGTACTAAGCGAGCATGCTTGCATTGCGGACAATCGGAGAGATCGGCGATGGAAAATAAATCTGCGGGCTGTCGGGAGCCGCATCCACGGTCAAACTCGACGACAAAGTCCCCTTCTTTCATCAGATTCGGTCTTGTTGCTCTGGTTTTCATATCTTTGATAATACTTTCCAGTGTACATACAACGGAGAGTAGACGATTGAGAAAGAACAAAAACAAAGATGCGGGGGAAAACGATATTGTCGTTAATGAGGAAGCAAAAGCTAGTCGGCGACGAGCTGGCAAAGAGAAGGGAAGAGGAAAAATACTCAAAACAAGTGAGAAAGCACTCATCATCACTGAGAAAAGATATCTGAAAAGTGATTGGTGCAAATCTAGACCTTTGAAACTGGTTGTCCGTTCAAAAAATGGCTGCAAAGGATTCTTCATCAACAACTTTTGTTACGGACAATGTAACTCGTTCTACATTCCAAGAAATCTAACTCCGGATGAAAAGGAACCTGCAGCTTTCAAATCATGCTCTTTTTGTAAACCACATATCATTGAAAAAGTCTCCGTCACTTTAACCTGCTCACGAAACAGAGGAAAGAGAGGAAAGTACATCAAACGAATTGTCAACAAAATAAAGGAATGTCGTTGCATTGCGGTACCCGATGTCGAATCTCACGTAGCCGAACCGTCACCATCGACTTCTTCAACGTCAGATTCGACCACATCATCAGAGCCAAAACGGTAGTGGACAAGTGGATAGTAAACTGTCAATATTGTCCAATGACATGCCAAAGATCGCAAAACGCGTTACGCCACGAGGCTGATTTTATCGGATTCTACCTCTACAAGACAAACTGATGACGGGACGTTACAAAATATGACGTCACGATACTCTGACGTCAGCGAAGGGAATAATGTTGGCGATCAGATGGGACAGAGTCCCGTGCAAACTTTTACCAAACCTTGCGCCACGCGCATTCGCATTATTAACTTTGCACCACCACTGACGCGCGAATCGTTAATCTAATAATTTTTTGACTCCAAATAATTAGTCCATCACCACAAACATCCTGAAAATCCAAGGGATTTTAAACCACTGCTGTCACAAATTGTCGCCATTTGGCAATAATTATCCGCGTATTAAGAAAGTAATTTGGCCTCCATCACTTAGCGCGAGTTTTTAAACCATTACTACAACAATTAGCTAAATAGTCAATGTTTCTGAAGTACCTTCGTGACCGTTTTCGAAAGTGGTCATTTTCGAAACTTTAGAACTTGCAAAGCTTTTCTATGAAACATATGAGCACATGCACATTTTGCTCTATTATTTTAGATTCTATCATATTTGCTTTTAATAAATTGTAAAATTTGCTACTTTTATTTTTCATCATTATCACAAACGATGACACCATGGTGGTCAAGAATTAATATTTGCTTTGGCGCACGCTCACGAATTCAACTTACCGTTCGAAATTTGATTATAGACTAACTATACATTTACAATTGCTTAGCACTTCTCCATTAAGAGTTACTTTTATTGATGTGTTAATAGTTACATTTGGCGACAAATTCTGTTGTATTGTATATTGCAAAAAGTTTTATTTCGGCTTCGAGGTGTCCAATAGAAATACTGGGTATTCTCATGTAAAATTTCAAATAAAAAGAGGTTTAAGATAAAGTTTTTTTGGTTGTTATCCTCAAAAATTTATTGTGACAAAAACACGTAAAATCTCAATATTCAGAAAATCCAGTGCGGTAATCCAACTTTGAATAGGATTTCGACTTCATTTTTACTTTGTTAATTTTTTTATATAATTAATTAATGAAAATTGTTGTCCTGATTATGAATGAATGTAAAGAGTTATCAAATGTATTATTGTGAAGGTGTATTATAAACCAAAAGTTTGCCATTCTATCTGTTTTAACAAAGTTGTAGAATCTCCCACAATTAGCCGCGGATCATCGCTTGAAATAGTATATGGTTTGAATCTGCTTCTATTCCCCACTATCTGTGATATTCACATGGAGAGCTCTCTGTATCTGGCGTACTAGTTGCACATAATATAGTCAGGTCGCTTTGGTTTTATTTCTCTTTTTTTTTCTAATTTTAAATGATATTTTACTGCTTTTTATTATTATTTTATACATTGATGCTAAAACGTTATTATTTAACGTTTTTTTACCTTTCACTTTTTTAATTATTTTATCATTTTTTTTATTGAATTTAATTATTATCGAGCGATACATTCATGTTCAACGTATTTATTATTTGCAGTTTTCAATAAATTCATTCAGAAATATTTTTAGTAATTTATGTTCGATCAATCTTGTGTTATCAATGCCACATATTTGGTCGAAAAAATTTCCAGTTGAAACATCTGATTGTATAAATATGCGTTTGTTGTAAACTGTTGCTAAAATAAAAATTAATAAATCAATATAAAGCGAATTTTATGTGAACAGGTTTACCTGTTTGGACATTTAAGAGTTGAGGTGAAGGTGTTCATTCCTAACACAAAACATTTCTTGTGAGAGTGATTGGGTGATCCAGCATCGTCTAGAATCTGCAGGCTTATCATAGTTTCTTCAAGTTCCCCAATGCAGTCCCCATAAACGCATTATCTGTTTGGCACACAAGGTCAATCGCTATGTTATTGAATTGTCCCCCGAAGGACCGGGTGTTAGTTTGTAAAAGGTAGTAAGAGTTACCCAGAACACCCCTCCGTATATTAATGTGAAAGGTGATCATTCGGCTGTGTATAATTGCTGTGACCCATTGGAGGACAGCAGTTAGGGCCTTTCATTCGTTACTGAGCATGGTGGCCATGGTATCCATCTCGAAATAAATTGGAATAGGGGAATTTTCGACACTGAGAACATCAACTCAATTGTGTATTCATCCGATACGAAAGCACGGGTGAAATTTTGAATCCTTCGCAATGTGAATATTCATCTGAAGAAAATAAATTTGTTACGAAGTCATTTTTTTTATTTAAATGAATTGATTCTGTTTCAAATGTAACTAACAAGGTGTACTGAGTTGAATTCTTTACTCTCAGAACATCTGCTCACATCGCGGCATCGGTTTTTATTCACTCAATTGTATTCTACTCGCATCACCTCAACTTATTCCATAACTATTCAAAGGTGAGCTTGCATTGAACAAAGTTTATTTTAAATAACTTTGAAGTTAGATTCTACCGTCAACCAGTAACTTCTAGATGTCTCAACATTAGGTTAAACTACATCAGTACTTGGGGTTTAGGAATACATGGTTATTTCATGATGGAATTGTGTACACCTAATATTTTTCTTCGAAGTCTACGAAGAGCAACAACATCCATACTTCGCTTTTTGGCAGGGCGTATAAGAAATTGATTTGAAAAGTAATACAATTGTGAAGAACTGAAGATATTATATTATGTAAACTAAGAAAACTCGTTGTTCTGAAGATAAGACGATTAAAGAAAACTTGAATTTAAGATTGTAAGTTTCGCATGGCTAGTACTTCGATGTTTTCTATAAATGATTTCGAGACAGGCGGATATATTTCAATGGGTTCCCATGCACATGTAAAGTACTATATACAGGTGCAACTATGCAAAAGTATAACTGGAATTTCGATATGTATCAAACGTTCTCGAAGACGTCATAATATGTCTCCTATCAAAATGCGACTGTTATCTCTTACCTCCAAGATTAAATGAAAATCTCATTGCAGAGTTAGGCAATCTGATTTTTGTATTTTCATTGAAATGCCGAATATTATCACAGGGAAATGCCATAATATTTGTAATCTTTTTTATGCAATTTGCAAAGTTTTATATACAGTCTATGGGCATAGGATCAATTCCGGAACTTTATGAATTTTGGGGTTTTATGAAGATTTGATTATTTTGCAACAAAAATATCCGCCAGTCCGTAATCGACAGACGACCCGACGTCTGGAGAGTATGTGCCCATAATATCACAGTTGAAACAAGAAAGGGTGTGATTTTCTGTACGCGGCTGCTAAACATGAAAATTTGACAACTTTTTGTTGATTTTTCTTCTCAAATGCAGCCGTATCGGGCGCCCAAAATATTCGATTGCTCGCTGTCTTGAACGTGACCCCTGTCCGAACATTTTCCCACGGCGCCTTGCCCAAAGTAAACGTGAAATTAAGCTTTTCGAGAACGTCTCAAGTGTCCTGAACTAAAGATTCTTTCTACTTTCATGCCATTGTTAACGCCTAGTTTGAGACAGTTCGACCAGGATGAAATTTAAGCCACAATTCTTCAGGCACCGGGATCCGAAGTCTGATTTCGTTAATCGGAGCGTCAAGGCGCCACACGAAAAACTCAAGAGCAATGGATTACATGATTTTAAATCCAATAAATTATGCTAAATGACGCGATTTGCTGCTTATTGGACCCTCAAAAAACATTCCTGTCGCGAGACCGACAACTTTATCCCAGCCTTTGTCATTGTTTATTTTATTTTCGTTTTATTGCCAATATTTAACACGTTAAATAAAAACTGAAATTTAACTGTGAACTACACATGATTAATAATTATTTCTGCTACGCGGAATAGCCAAAATTTACCCGCTTCATTTAGGCACTGAATAGAGCTTAAAAGACAAACTAGAAGTGCAAGTGTGCAATTTTTTGTCACGAAGCAATACATTAAAATTCACTTAAAATTTCTGACTATTTCAATTTTTTATTGGCCGCATTATCAAAGTAAAATACCAATTCACGAAAGTATCTACTTAAAGACAATAACAATAACAACGATTACTTTGCTTCGACAGATTAATATCAAGTACTTGATGTGATTAACCTAAATCCTAAAGTAGATTTTCTATACTGGACTATAATTTTATTTTAAGTTTCGATACCCACTGAAATATATAAGATATTTTACGATTTTAACTCAATTTTTACAAAATTTGGTTCTGTTTATTGTTAATTTTTTGTTAAAGAAATTGCATCAATAAATAACAGTAACATTTATGAGATATACTTAAAAAAAAAAATTGAGATCAAATTCTTGTCTGTTTCAGTAAGTCTACACTATCACATCAACATCTCAATATTTTTTTTTAAAATGAATGAATTACACAAAAAAGCCTATTGAATTTACTTCCCTTTTTTGATTCGGCAACCAAATACTTGGAAAAATATGAGAAACTTGATCAACGACTACTAGTAGATGATATTTCATTTGTAACATCCAAAAATATCGATAAATCATTATTACCGCCATGCAAGTGGCGCCTAGAGTATTCTGAGGTGGAAAATCAACCAAACAAAAGAATGTGCCATCCATTTGTACATAAATACTTATGTTTAGCTTTAAAATTACAACCACACAGGCAGTTTATCATATTTGACTAATTTGTGTATTGCTAATGGATAACGAAAACAAGATTAACTCTTTGTCTGCTAAATTCGCATTGTAACCAAAGCAACTCGATCATCGCCTTTATCCCTACAACTTGCACTCATGCAAACAGCATATACGAGCGTTCAAAAAAAGTTCAAAAATCAAGAAAAGATTTTAACCTTAGTCAGGGCTTGGGATTCCGGCGCAATTTACTACAAAACCTTCAAAAAGAGCATATTTTGTAAAAATCCATGAAGTGAATGTCTACCTGCAAATGGCACGGAAGTATTGAAGTTTTTTAAATAGCTTTATAGGGTCGTCGGATACCGAAAAATAATATTTCCGTCTGCGCTTGTATGTATAACTAAAACTCGATTGTGAAGAAACATACAATGAATAATGGTCGAATATTAAAAAAAAAAAAAAAATCCTGTTTTCTTCAGTTACCGGGAAATATGCAACAAACAACATTATTCTGCTATTCTTGACGACGTAAGTGGGGTTGCATTTTTCGGGGACGACCAAAACCGAATATTTCACTATTTCGAATACATTTTGAGAAAATAGTTTGAAATATGGAATATCAAATACATTCTGAATTGAGGGGAAAGTTTATGTGGAAAATTACATGAATCACTATATCTTCATGTTATTCATATTCAAAACGATATAAATATAAAGGTCATTGTTTTTCTCTGTGTCGTTTCATAACAGTTGAGATATCGTACGTTTTGATCTGCTTGTCTGACGGCTCATCCATAATTCAGATAAAAATTTATCAAATCATTCATAAAATCAATTTTTTTATATCGAATACAACGATTTTCGAATCTATTTGAATAGTTGATTCGTTTTCGAGATCCTTGGTGTTGAATACTAAACCATTTACGTTATGCATTTCACTGTCTTAGTGATTCGGTGAATTTGATTCAACGTGCTTATATGTATGTACACCATAATAAACGGCATAAATTAAATCGACTTTCGCTGGAATTTGTTTTAAATTAAACATATTTATATTGTTTAAATTTAATGTCATGAGATCTTGGTGGAAGCGAGCAATGTAGGATCATTTCAATATTATATGCGGAAGACCCAAATGAAACTTTAAGTCTACAATCGCTAAGACTTGAGATAATATCTATGATTTACAAATTTTACAAACATGACGAGACTAGTCGAAATATTTTATTGATTTTGAAGTGCAAATGTCATATATGCATATATAGACAAATGAAATAAAACATAACCGGCGTTATTGGTCGTTCCCGAAGTCTTGGAACGACGGTAAAGTCTGTACGACTTGTTTTGTGGTCGAATTAGCCAATATTTCACACGGTAAGAATAGGAAGTAAAATCATAGGGTTTGTTTTGACCAAAAATAATGCAAAATTTCCGCATTTGCAGATTCAAGCATTTAACATGACATAATATTGACCTTTTTACACGTTGTCTGCCCCCATTCTCGCATTAAAATAGGGTAAAGGAGTTTATATTAATAAAACTACGATGGAAAAACTCTGAAATTATTAATCAATACTAGCTATAAAAAAAACAATTGTATACAAAATTCCATTCCGGAAAAACAGATCAAAAACTAATAATCTCGAAGACATATAATATTTTACAATGACGTAATCGCAAAACAATCGAAATTATTCATGCGTTCAATTTCACGGTTCAAAATTATTAGAAGTGTTCTCAGGTAACACGTGCAATACCAACATAAATAAGAAGTTCAGATATCCAGTTTAGAAATGTACTTCCAAATTAATACGAATTTCAATGTAACTTATTTATGATTCATGGTTCGAATATGACCAATTTTGATTCAAAACTAACAGTATTATTTAAATATGATTGGAATTCAATTTTTAGAGTGGCATAACTACATAATTCTACTCCATTTTCTGATTTTGGTTATTTAGTTTGCTGCAAGTTGTACACAATTACGTAATACAACTTCTTAAAGAATATTAATGTAATTGACGTCACGGGTTTAAATTGCAGTCAAAAAATATCTGCGCGTTTATGTATATCTAGGTATAAAAATTGCATTACTACATCG